CTTTCAATATCGTATTGAGATTGAACATACAGCACTTTTAATATCGTGTTGGAGTTAAATATATAGTACTTTCAATACCGTGTTGGGGTTGAACATATAATACTTTAAATATCGTGTTGGGCATTGAATATATATATAGTACTTTCAGTATCGTGTTGGAATTTAATATATAGTACTTTCAATTATGTGCAATTAGCTTTGTTGCACAAACAGTTATTGCTGGTAGTTGTTGAATTTCGCGGAAAACTACTCGGATGATATCTGCTCTAGCTGTCCCTAATTTTAAGGAGATATACTAGAGGGAGGGCAGCTAGGCAATACCACTTACCGCCAACTCGTGCCCACTTTAATCAAATAGTGGAATTTGAGTGTCACTTCTATGATGCACGCAGGGTCTCATAGTGCGAACTGGGATTTTTTTTTCGGTAGTGACAGGGCGTGAAACTAGGATCCATAGATCGGCACGCTAACATTTAGTATGTTTTGGTTTCGAAGTGATTAATTATATATTCTAAACGTATAGTCAGGTTCATTCTTGTATATTATTGTGATATATATATTTCCCAGGATTTATATTATTTTGTTTTACTGCGAAAGTCACAGGGATCAATCGAATAACTCCTTCTGATCGAAAATGTAATTTGTTAATCTTTTATATATTTTACAAATAAGCAAAAATATTTTCTTCGACTTTGTTGTTGTTTTACAGAATCTTTGCGAACACCAGGAGATACGACAAAACCACGAATTCCAAAGTACGTGTTACCTAGCTTTAAGTTCGTTAGTTTACGAAGGTTGTGTTCACTCCTATTACGCTAAAATTAATCTTACTACTAATCCAGTCTACTGCACGCCCAAGACGGCATCCAAGTTCTTCAAGGTAAGAGTATCTGTTTCATTCCATATTTCCAGTTATTATTACATTTTAATAACAAACCATATATAAAAAAAACTAACTAAAACAAATGTATGATAATAATTTCACTTTAAAAGTTTTGTTTTCTTAGTTTTTAACCCAGTAATTTCTCTTTTTTTTAGGACGGGGGAAGTGTAGTTATAGGAATTTTTTGTTGTTTTAATGAAACTATAAAATTCATTTTTTGGCACTAATATACAGGCTACTTCATAAGAAACGAAATCTTATAATTATGCTAACACCTGTATAGCTGGTGTTATTTATTTTATATATACTTAAAAAAAGGTTTTTCGTTAATTAAAAAACATTATATTTTAGCTAAGTATAAATATCAAAATAAAAAAGTGTCTACAAAATGACAGTGCATTAAGTTTGGGTTAATTCTAAACTGCAAGATTAAAGATATGTAAAAGACATTTAAAAAATAAAAGATAGTAACATGTTAGGTTTCCAGAAACGTTTATCCCTATTCTTCTTCTATTGCAGTACATTGTCCGCGACTACGAACAGACTACTGATGATCATTATCGTCTGACTTATATAAAAGTCGCTGGAAACATTGGAGTTAAGGACGGAATCTCGTATCTCAAGCCTTTTATTTTAGGTGAACGTGATTATCCTCTACACATCCGTGTAGCTTCAGTGTGGGCGCTTCATCGGCTCGTGCACACTTATTCAGAAGAGGTAAACATTGTTGCTTTGACAGATCTTTAAAAATAAACCAAAATAAATATCTCAACAGAAAATATTTAATTATTTTAAATAGTGAGTGTTCTGCATTTTTTAAAACATATTTTGGATATAACACTTTTATAGCTGTAGAGATACAACTGTTTAGGAAATTAAGTTTCATGTGCATTGTTTAAGATATATTTTAGATAGCACACTTTTACAGCTGTACAGATACAACTGTTTAGGAAATTAAGTTTCATGTGCATTGTTTAAGATATATTTTAGATAGCACACTTTTACAGCTGTACAGATACAACTGTTTAGGAACCTAAGCTTCAGCTGCATTGTTTAAGGAATACTTGGGACAAAACACTTTTGTAGCTGTACAAATACAAATGTTTATTAAGGAATATCTTGGATGGAATTGTTTTTTGTACACATACAATGAGGATTATAAGTAAAAATTAACACGCTTAACATAAATCAAATGATAATTTTAAGAATCTTTCTATTTGATTAATAACATATGAGTATCTCAATACATTAGACCGACAGCACCTCTACATACTTGTAATAAAAATAAAAATCACGACTCATGTGCACAATAAATTTATTTGTATCACATTAAAAGATTTACTTGATTTTCAGAAGAATCTCAATTCGATCAGCCCGACGATACAGATCCCCCATTATTACACAAAATCTCTTCCTTTTCATTTTTATTTACAGAAGGGTGTTAATGTTTGTTTATCTAAGAAAGAACTAATATTTTGAACTGAATTATTTAAAATGTGTATTGCTTAATAGAGGGTATAAACCAAATATCATGGATAGGATTTATAATAAATATTGTAATAAATTACAAATATTTGATTGTACCAAATTACAGTCAACCAAAAAAGGGGAAATAGAGTAAAAATGTGTTTTCCATATGTTCCATCGTGGTTAACACAAATAGCTAATGTTTTTATGAAAAACACAGATTGTCAAATAACTTTTGCACCTCAATTCAAATTAGTTAATACAATTAATGGATTGAAAGATAAAATTGAAATATCTAAAATTTCATGTACATGTGGTTTAACTTATAAAACTTCGAAATTTAGAACAAAGCATAAAAATGCAGCTAATAAGTTAAAAACGTGTGAGTTGGCCTCGGCAGAAGATGTGGCTAACTCTTCACAGATTATTGATTAAGACAATGTGAAATTACTTTAGCACCCTTATTTCAAAAATTAATTAAATATGAGAGAGTCATTAGAAATTATTAAAAACATAACGTTGAGTTTGAATAGAGACTTGGGTCCATGTGCCACGGAAGCGAATTCCTGAACTTCCGTTCTGAAAATGGCACTACCGTACAATATGCTATATGTACACGTACATATATTCTGGTAAATAAACGGACCTCATATGTCCTTCTTTGTCTCCCGAAGATGGTGGACTATGTTGTCCACCGAAAAATGTACAGCGTGTTTTGATTTCCTTTTAACCTTATACAAATAGATTTATTGTGCACCTGAAACGTTGACGTCGGAATTTTTATTTTTAACATCAGTGTATCTCAGTCGTTCTACAAGTTCGGGTATTTGATATATAAAGTTATTATACCCGACACAGGTTATGTCGATAGTTGTTCCTCTTTACTTCAACACCAACGAGGATTACGAGCTTCGGATTGCAGCCTTTACTGTGCTCATGTCCACCAATCCTCCACTTTATCAACTGGAGACCATAGCGAAACATCTGTACGTGGAACCCAGCCAGCAGGTGATGTCTTTTGTTTACAGCACTTTCAATCATCTGGCTAACTCAACCCACCCTTGTCATAAAAAAATGTGAGTTAAACACACATTTCTGCGTGTAGTCATAGAGTTTGAGTACATATATTTGCTACACCCTCACATATTAACTTTTTCATAGATATAAATTGAAAAAGGGAAAACTGGTTGTTATCCTATTATTGAAATTAAGATGTAATTGGCCTAAACTAGTAGTTTCCGATATTTTTCACTGACAATATTCTAATCCACTTTCCATGATTTGCAGCCCCCCCCCATGGCACAGCGGTATGTCTGCGGACTTACAACGCTAGAAACCGTATTTCGATACCCGTGGTGGGCAGAGGACAGATAGCCCATTGTGTAGCTTTGTGCTTAATTACAAAACAACAACAAACCATGATTTACGCGACAACCCTGCTGCCACATTAATCTTTTTTTGTATAGTTTTGTTATGTTCTTAATTATTCTACATTTGGTGAAACTCTTGTGACGCCCCTAGCAAGTTGACGCGACACACTGATGGGAAACCATTAACCTAAACGTTTTATCAGTCAATAACACAGGCCTGCCATGGTTTTATTGTCTTGAAATTGCAATAAGAACAGATACATATATATTACCATTGTGAAGGAAAACACCTTTTACACTTCGTTTGGAAGAATCAATGAACAATCACCACTCACTTGGTTCATAGACTACAGCTTCTAGCATTGGTAATAATTCAGCAATATTATTGCAATGAACCAATGAATCTACTTGCGAAAAGTATGGTATAAACTCTTTCTCTCGATTTCTGTACCAGTAAAATGATGTCCTTGGAGAAAGTAAGTTCTTAGCTCAAAGTCTGGACCCAAAAATCTCTGAAGAATCCTATAAAAGGTCCAAATTTCTAACAAAAATCATTAATTTCACCTTGTGTGAAAAGTTATGGTTCACCAGACGTTTCAGGTTTAAAACAATCCCTATCATCATTTCTATTGACATCAGATTCAGAATCATGTGAAACTGTATCAAGAGTCTCCAGTGGAGTAGGTACAGGTACATCAGGTCCATGAGCAACAGGTCTTATAGCAGGTTGAAGGTTCGGATAATAAATTTCCTTTTTATTTCGAGTGTTGTAGCCTTGCACGTTACATGAGAAAAAATAGCAGTCATCTCGTGGTTTCTAGCCTCACGACTGACCACGGGAATTCCAAAATGCAAAGACTTTTTCTTACCTTTAGTCCATTGTCTCAACTCTTCGACACAAGCGGTGCAAACTTTGTGCAGAACCCATGATTTGTCTTGGTCTACAAGTTTTATTCCAAAATACACGTAATACGCTTTTTTGACGAATTATGTAATGTTTTGCCTTTTTTCTTTACAACAAATTTATTACAAATATAACAGAATATAAGTGGGTTCTTTACACAAACTCTTGTTGCCATAGCGACGAATAAATAATATTGAAAAGAAACATATTGTCAAAGCGCACGCACAAACAAATACTATCCAGAAATGACAGGTCATGCGGCTTGTTAACCATTTATATACTAGTGGGGTGTTTCTCGTGGGTTCTAGAACGATCGATATGGCTCTCATATCGCGATTGGTCTTGAAAAGTCCATAGCCAATGATTTTTAACATCTTAAGCATAACAAAATGTGACCCAATTTCAATGAAAATGATTCATTTATGTAAAAGTACATATGACGTTTTGTGAAAATTCTGTACACGATGAAGAAAAATGGATATCATTTTCGGATTCAACGTACAGGAATTACTGTAGAACATGTAAATCATTCGGTTCACTTGAAGGAAACGTACGAAAATCTCGAACTTTTACTTAATAAGGTCAAATACAAAGAACATTATTGGCTACTCTGTGTTGTATGTTGTTGGGTCAACAATCCGATTATACAAAGTTCCATGTTTTTTTGTGTGAATGGGACAGCAGAGCACGAAATCAGTACTGGATAAAGAAGCAATGGTCACGCAGAGTCAACCTGATATCAGGATTGAAAAACATTGAACGTGAATGTTTGGTTGACACAAAAAAGTCCTATTACCTCCACTTCACATTAAAACTGGGCTTGATGAAGCAGTTTGTAAAGACCTTAGACAAAGATGGCGACTGCTTCAAGAAACTATGTGGACAATTCCCAGCTCTTTCAGAAGCGAAAGTTAAAGAACGGATTTTTGTTGGGCCTCAGATTCGGAAACCGACTTCGAATGAACAGTTCGAAAGGACAATGAGGAAAGTTTAAAACGAAGTGTGGATTGCCTTTAAAGATGTTATTGACAAATTTTTAGGAAACAACAAAGGCCCAAATTACGAAAATATTGTCAATAACATGCTTGATAAATTCAAAGAGTTGGGTTGTAATATGAGCTTGAAAGTTCATTTCTTACACTCACAAATTGACTATTTCCCTGAAAATCTCGGTGTCGTCAGCGAAGAACAAGGGGAAAAGTTTCATCAAGGCGTCAGGGAAATGGAAAAGAGGTATCGAGGAAGGTGGAACATCAGCATGATGGCTGATTACCGCTGGTTATTGAAACGAGGTGCTCCAGGCGCAATGCATAAAAACACAAAAAAAATCTGGATAAATGAGGATGCATATTCGTTTTACATCAATGTTATTCCCTTTTCTTCAGCTTTTTGTATTTTTGTTAACAAACATAATAATAAAAAATTTTCATTGTGGTAAATAAAATAATAATTTGATGTAAGTAAGAGTTATTCTTCTTACCCATTTGTAAAAAATCCTTACGTGATAGAAAAAAATGAATAATATTTTCAAAATCTGTGTAGCTGAATTATAGAAAATCCGTTATTAAAACCAAAAGAACCCTTATGAAGTTTCAATTCGCAGGCCTGTGTTATTCTTATTTAGTTATTATTTGATAATTCTGATCTATGCAGGTAATCTGGTTTGATCAGAATTACTGGTACTCATATTTCAGATGTACAAACGTATTAAAGTTCAAACACAACATCACTTCGAAAAGTAGCCTACATTGTTTTTCTTCCCCTTTTGTAAGCGTTTCAAAATTCAAGATATAAAAAGCGTTAATGAATAAATGTATGTGTTTATATACTTTTCAAAATTAATAATGCATAATAATTAATAATTATCTTTATGAATTTTAATTCAAGAAGCTATTGAACTATTTGCTAAATGCAGACAGTGAAAGTACCAAGTGTACCAGTAAACTATTTAAATTTTGAAGAATGTAATCAATACATTAAAAGTACTTAATGGCATGTTAAGAATGCAAGAAGGCAGAGAAGTAATGACACTTAATTTTAATTGGGTCATTCTTCCGTATCATAGAAGATTATACTTGGAATCAACGTCGCTACTTTTCTCTACAAAATTGTTCATCATTGCAGTGATTGTAGAATACCTTGTGATATTGACTTGTTTTCGACGATACAGACTTAAGCGTCAAAAAATTAACACAGGTATTTCAGATTCTTGACATGAAGATGAAAAATTAGATTGTTCAGTGAATCTTATGAACACTTATGCAAGGATTTGCAGAGGGATTATAGATATTATAAAGAAAGTTTCGCAGTACAGTGCGTCATATCTTACTAACCGTATACAAGAGGATAGTGTGATTGTACAGGAGTGTTAAGGATATCATACGGATGCAAATACCACAGCTATCATATATTGCCACCAGGATCGTCACTGTGATTTCTTTCGCACTTTTCTGATGGGTAAAATAGGATTGTCGATCGCACTGCAGCAGCTCATTCAAGCAGTATGAACCTGAAAAGTGTGCAGTTATTACATCAAAGTATCCAGTACCAAAACAGTGCTCATGGACTATTGTAGAGTGCATAAAATCCGTAGAGGACCTTCTTCCTTGTGTTGTTGTGCTCAAGTTCATTAAAAAAAAAAAGAAGTCAAGTTGTGATAAGCCAAGTACAGGCAGAACACAGACACCCAATGAAACTATTGCTGAGGTCAGTCATGCCACATTAGATCAAGCCAGAACACGTTCATATTGGTGCATTAATGTACGTTATGTTGCCTGATGTCTGGATTTGGCTATTTTACTGTCCACAAAGCTCTTTGGTCAACTGTGCAAATGTTCATTAGAAACTGCATCATGTTAAGGCACTGATGGAGATAGTTTTAACCTGATGTGTTGATTTTGCGTTGCAATGTTTGGCAAGATTGGAAGTCGATGACCAGTGGCCTGTTAATATCTTATGGACTTATGAAACACACTTCACCAATATGTACAACTGGTACCATGTAACATTTTCCACACACCTTCATGATGCTGAGGTGACATTGTGGTGAGGTTTTACAGCTTACTTTATTATCAGACAGTACTTTTTTTAGGAACAATCAGCACAAATATTGC